TCTTGAACACAAGAAGAACGAGAGGACACAACAAAAAGTTGAAAGTAAAAAGAGGTGATAAAGATGTCAAAAAATATTAGTTTCCAAACAAAATCATGGAACAGTCTCCCAATCAAGTAGTGTGTGCCAAAACTGTGCATCAATTTAAAAAGTTATACGATAATTTAAATATATCAGACTGGACCACCGTATTCAAACAACTAGGTAATAACAACTAGGTAAGGGTAAGAAACACACCACACTCCTCTCCTCCTCTCCTCCTCCTCCTCCTCCTCCTCCTCTCTCTCCTCCTCCTCTCCTCCTCTCTTTCCTCTTCTTCTCTTCTCCTTCTTCTCTCCTTCTCCTCCTCTCTCTCCTCCCTTCTCCTCTCCTCCTCCTCCTTCTTCCTCCTCTCCTCTCTCCTCCTCCTCCTCCTCCTCCTTCCTCCTCCTCCCCTCCTCCTCTCTCTCCTCTCCTCCCTCCTCCTCCTCTCCTCTCTCCTCCTCCTCTCTCTTCTCCTCCTCCTCCTCTCCTTTCCTCTTCCTCCTCTCTCCTCTCTCTCTCCTTCCTCTCTCCTCTCCTCTTATTCTTTATTATTATTATATATTATTATTATTATTATTATTATTATTATTATTTATTATATATTATTATTTATTATTTATTATTATTATTATTATTATTAATTATTATTCCTTCTTCTCCTTCTCCTTCTCTCCTCTTCTGCCTCTCCCCTCTCTCCTCTCTTCTCCTTGCTTTCCTTTCCTCCTCCGCCTCTCCTCCTCTCTTTCCTCTTCCTCTCTCTTCTTCTTCCTCTCCTCCTTTCTTATTATTTTTTCTCTTCTTCTCTACCTCCTCTTCTTCTTCTTACTCTCTCTTCTTCTTCTTCTTCTTCTTCTTCTCTTCTTCTTCTTCTTCTTCTTCTTCTTCTTCTTCTTCTTCTTCTTCTTCTTCTTCTTCTTCTTCTTCTTCTTCTTCTTCTTCTTTCTTCTTCTTCTTCTTTTCTTCTTCTTCTTCCTCCTCTCTTTTTTCTTCTTCGTCCTTCTTCTCCTTCTTCTTCTCCATTTTCTTCATCTTCTTCTTTTTCTCCTCCTCCTCCTCCTCTTCTCCTCCTCTCCTCCTCTCCTCTTTCCTCTCCTCTCCTCTCCTCCTCCTCCTCTCCTCTCCTTCCTCCTCCGCTCTTCTTCTTCTTCCTCTTCCTCTCTTATTATTATTATTATCTTCTTCTCTACCTCTTCTTCTTCTTCTTCTTCGTTCTTCTTCTTCTTCTCTTCTTCTTCTTCTTCTTCTTCTTCCTCTTCTTCTCTTCTTCTTCTTCTTCTTTTCCTCTCTTTTTCTTCTTCGTCTTTTTCTTCTTCTCCTTCTTCTTCTCCTTTTTCTTCATCTTCTCTTCTCTTCTTTTCTCCTCCTCTTCTTTCTTCTTCTTCTCCTCCTTCCTTCCTCCTTCCTCCTCCTCCTCCTCCTTCCCTCCTCCTCCTCTCCTCCTCTCTTCTCCTTCTCCTCCTCCTCTTGTTCCTCCTCCTCTTCTTCCTTCTCCTTCTCTTGTTTTTCTTCCTCCTCCTCCTCCTCTCCTCCTCCTCCTCCTCCTCCTCCTCCTCCTCTCCTCCTCCTCCTCTCTCCTCTCCTCTCCTCCTTCCTCCTCTCTCCTCCTCCCTTCTCCTCCTCCTTCTCCTCTTCTTCTTTAAGAAGCTAAGATGGTATGGTGGATGTATATCAGAGGTCGGCAACCAGACTTGGCACGAGGAGCACTTGTCTATGGCACGCTATGTGATTCAGAGGAGCAAAGAAAAGTTAAACAGCAAAATAATGAAATAATGAGAGAGAGAGAGAATCTTATTATTATTATGGCCAGCTATATTTTAAAATTGAGAAATATTGGAAACTACTGCGAATGATCAGTTCCCTGACACCACTATCTGATAAAGTCAGTTACATGAAGAAAGTGATGAATATAAATCTAAAATCATAAAACATATATATTTTTTGTTACAAAGAATATTAAATGCTACAAAAACATTACATTCATGTTATGCATGTGCATGAAAATACATTTAGGTATACAGCGCTGAAAAGAAAACCTGGTATGCAAGGTTATGAATAAGAAGACATTAATTATGAACTGGCTATGTTCAAAAAGTTGCTGACCCCTGATGTATATATTTATTTTCAACAGAAAAGAATTAAGGTTCTTCACTTTTGAAGATAATATTCTGTTGTCTTTCTTTCACTATTTACGATGTTGTAGTGTTTGATAGATGTGACATTTAAAACCTGTGTTCTCTTCACAATATGAGTAAATACCAGAGAGATATGATTACATTCTTTAGAACTGTCTCACTTAATTGAATTTGAAAATATTGTTATAATGAGACCTTTCATGTATTTAACATAGGTATAGCATGGAAAAAAGATAATGGTTTTGGCAAGAATGATATTACTTCTAAAACCTAATGAGCATATCTTTCACAGGTAATCCCCGCTGGACACTGAAGGGCCACACAGCACCTCCCAACACCATCAG